AGCCCCAACTCTCTCAGCCTGTCTTCATAGCAGAGGTGCTCCAGCCCTCTGATCATCTTCGGGGCCCTCCTCTGGACCCGCTCCAGTAGCTCTATGTAAATAATAGATTTACATCTAAATATAAAGCCAAAGCTGAGCACCTTGGAGCCTGAAAGATCTTGACTTTGTCTCAATGGTGAATGGGAAAATGTTTGCAATCCTGACTCGGGTCTTGGGGCATGTGGGATGTGGGTGCCAGCCCTTGGTGTGGTGGTCCTGGCTCTATGGGAGTCGTGGTTGTGGGGGGGGGGGGCATGAGCAGAAAAAGAGACAGCAGACTTTCTGATAACAGAGGCTCACCACATCTGGATAAGCTTCTTTCCAGGCCAAAATTTTAGCCATTAGCCACTTGGTGTGAAATTTACCCACAAGTTATGCTGCCCTGTGGGTGCGTGCCCCACTGCAGCCCCGCGGGGTCCACCCAAAAGCTGAGGGGTCGTGCAGGATGCTTGAGGTCCCTCAGCCATCTGCATGGCATCCCACCAGGGCTCAGGGCACGGACCCTGACTGCGAGGACCATCTGGTACCATGTCCGAGATAGAACACTGGAGATGATTTTGGCTGTCGCCTGGTTGCTAAATGAAATCCCTGAATTCCGTCGCTTGGGCGGTGGAGCCATTGCTTTCCCTGGCTTCCCCATCTGCAGGCAAATGGGTTAATGTCCTTCGCTATTAACATTCCAGCTGCTCCCCTCGCCTCTTCTTTTTTTTCCCTTCCCCTTTTTTTTCGTAACATCAGTAGAAATCAGCAAAAATATCTAACCAAATTCTTTGTCTTGGGGCTGCAGAAGATACCATGGGTAAGTCGTCAGATTAGTTTAAGTGCTTTCTTTGTAACTCAGTACCTGTGGAATGTCGTAATAAAGCCATGATGGTCAGAGTGGAGCTTTTTAAACAATAAAACAGGGGAAGTGATGAAAGGCAATTTTTTTTTTTTTTAAAAAAAGGACGCAGCAGAGATCTCAGAGTTAATTTATGTAATATTTCTATTAAAAACAATGTCTATTCAAGACAGCAATTTAAAGCCTGCACTGTTGGCTTAAAATATAAATCCAATAAACCTCTATTATGATTCCTCCATTAGGTCAGTGTGATGGAATTTTGTGGACTTCTAAAATAAGACATCATTATTTTTCAGGAATGTTTCATGAATCACAGTCAAAGCCCCTTCATCTTTGCTTGTATAAATTTCAAAAATGGTTCTCTTATAAAATACCTATGTTTGCTGAAGCCAGCAGCTGGCTTTCCTCTTGGAGCAGCATCCTCAGGGCTGAAACACAGTTTGCACAGCAGATGAGACAAATTACAGCCTACAAATACTTGAGAAGGGATGGTGGGGAGGTGGGGGAAGGGCTCTTTACATTAGTCATGGGTGATAGAACAAGAGGAAATGGGTATAAGCTTAGTCAGGGGAGATTCAGGTTGGATGTTAGAAAGAGTTTCTTCTCTGAAAGGGTTGTCAGCCACTGGAATAGGCTGCCCAGGGAGGTGGTTGAGTCCCCATCCCTGGATGTGTTTAAGAATAGGGTGGATGAACTACTTAGGGATATGGTTTAATGGGGGATTAGGGACGGTTGGACTGGATGATCTCTAAGGTCTTTTCCAACCTAGAAATTCTATGAAATTCTATGAAATTCTATGAAATTCTCCTCCGTGGTGTTGTGGCTGTGGGCTGTGAGGTTGTGAAGCTGAGGTTGTGTGAGATTTGCCCATTTCTTTGTAGAATATCAATGAGAAGAGAGTTACCTTATTCCTGAGAGAGCGGCAACACCTCAGGACCATTATTTTAGTGGGGGTATAAGCATTTTATGCATTTATTTGTTTGCCCGTGCGCTTTGTTTGGATGGGGAGGTTGGGTGGTGCGGGACGCAAATCCCTCTCCCAGAAACCCCAAAACATTCCAGGTGAAGCCTAAAGCAAGGGTTGAGTTTAAGAGTAGCTCTCATGTCCTCCCTGACTTTCAGGCTGTCAGGACTGTGTTAGCACAAGAGGTAATTTGTTTCATCCCCTGTGTGGTCCTGCACCGCCGTCCTGGGAAGACCACCACCCAAACTGGCCAAAATCTGCCCCTAGCCTAAAAACGCTGCAAGTTTCTTCTTGTGAGGTCCATCTCATCCTCCCATGGAGAATCATCCTCCCTGCTGACAGGTCCAGGTCCACGGTGTTGCTGTAGATTTGGGCTGGAAGCATCCCCAAAAGCCCCTTGAAGCCAGGGAGTGAGAAGCCGCATGTTGGGTTAGAATCATGGAATCATAGAATGGTTTGGGTTGGAAGGGACCTCAAAGATCATCCAGTTCCAACCCCCCTGCCATGCTCAAAGCCTCATCCAGCCTGGCCTTGAACACTTCCAAGGCTAGGTTGGATGAGGCTTTGAGCAAGTGATGCTTTTGAGAATTGTGGGTTTGTGATGGCTTCATCACCTCTGCAGGACAGAGACCCACCCAAACCCACTGTGCCATGGGGTCGGTGCACAAGGTTCACCTCTAGCAATTACGGGAGATGCTGTTGTCATTGATTGTTGGGGTTTGCTGATGGAGATGTGTAACTTTGGTATCCCTTGCTGCTAGGAGGAAGAGTTCATTGACTGGTGGAGCAAATTCTATGCTTCCACAGGAGAGAGGGAAAAATGTGGCTGCTATCTAGAGAAGGGCTTTGACACCCTGAAGGTAAGTTGCCTTGGCTGATTCTGGCCCATTGGACCTGTGCTCTCTGTGATGTTTTTCCACAAGCTTTGATTTTTTGGAATGTTTAGGCTTTTTTTTTTTTCTTCTGGGACAAAAAAAAAAAAAAAAAATTAGATCATTTTCCCCTGAGAGCAGGTACTTTTGTTTTGAAAAAGAACTATTTGGAAAACACAATTTTCCTTGTAAAATCTTTCCCGGTAACTTTCCACTTTGCAGCCTTCAAGAAATTGTCACTTTTCTAAGTGGCAGAAGGGATGGGGAACTGCCACCCTGAAAAGTGTTTGGGAACAACAAGGAAAGCCAGAGATTGCCCAGGGAAGGGGAGATTTAGATGCCCTGTTACAAGAACGGCTAAAATTAGCACAGGACCCCATATAGGACTAAAAGGGAGAAGACCTTAAGGTCTTTTTTCTTAAGGAGAATGTTCCCAGCAGGAAGGTCTCTTCGGCTGATGAAAAACCCTCTGTGAGACCTTGGCTTAGTCTGGGTCTTCTGCAATGTGCTGTTATTTATTGTAGGGTCACCAAATGTCTGTTCATCTCTGTCCTGGGGGTCAGGCAACAAGGCTGACAGGTCCCAGGGCTCTGTCCCTGAGGGTGGTGTTTCCCCTAGACTGAGGAGCTTAGGTCAAAGCTTGTCCCAGATCGGTGGGGACATGCTGCTGGTTCCTCTGCCCAGGAGCAGTCCCTGCCCTCACCCCCATCTCTCCCTCCCCAGGTCTACGAGATGGAGCTGGAGAACGTGGAGGACTTTGAGCATCTCTCCGACTTCTGCCACACCTTCAAGCTGTATCGGGGCCGGTCGCAGGACTCAAATGATGACCCCTCGGTCGTGGGGGAGTTCAAGGTGTGATGGCCTCTCTTTCTACCCCTGTCCATACTTGGGAACACGTGTTGCTGAGTGGAAGGTCTTGCTGCTGGGTGGGATGATGCCAATTGACTATTTTTAGGTAGTACTTCAGTGAGAAATGGGCCATAAAAGTAGCCCACTGTGCCCAGTCTGAAGAACCTGCCTGTGCAGGTCTGCCTGCTGTGTTCCCAGCAGTGAGTGCCCTGAATGCCTCAAACCTAGTCTAGCCTGTGCTGTCATCTTCCAGAAAAAAACCAGCTGCAGCTGACACTGGGTGTAAGTGATGGAGCATCTTCTTCCAAGGAGGTGGTGGGACCATGTGTGGGCACTTATGGTCTCACCACGCTGGTGCTTGGAGCTCTCCCTTTGGAGATATCACCCCAGTGCAGAGGAGCAAAGCTTCTTCTACTCTTTTTAACCCACTCGCAAGAGAAGAGGCAATAATTTTTTCTGGCTGTTTTTTCTTAAAATTTTATTCCTGCTCTTACCCAGCACTCTCTTCTCTCAAACAATACCCAGAGACTGATTCCTGCCACTTTGCCGAGAGGAACTCAGGTCTGGTGAATTAAAGACTAGTAAATTTTTGCCTTTTCTTCCTCCTCTTCCCACCCCTCGCTCAGGAACCAGCTGCCTCATTCAGGAACCCTTAAAAATGTCTCCGCAGAGAAAGTCTCAGCCTAAACCTTTAGGAGGCTGATCGCATTGGCAGCACGTCTCCTTCACGCCTCTTTAGTAGTGTGAAGGCTCAAAGGACAGTGAAGTAGAAGAGGTAAAGGACAAACACGCTAGAGGAGTTCTGTGCAGACTTATGGCAGAGTTTGCATCGATGTTCAGGCAAGAGATGAAGGACACAGGCAGCTCACCACTCTGCTCCGGGCTCACTTGGCCATGAAGAACCTGGCAGGACATGGTCTGGTCTAGTAGACAAAGGATGGTCAGGATCTGGGCTCTGTCCCCAGCATTGTAGTAGTTGTAGATGCCCCATCCCTGGAAACTTTCAAGGTCAGGTTGGATAGGGCTCTGAGAAAACTGATGTAGTTGAAGATGTCCCTGCTCGTTGCAGGAAGGTTGGACTAGATGACCTTTAAAGGAAGCTTTCTACTCAAACCATTCTATGGTTCTATGCAACCATCCAGACTGTTGTTGCAAGCCCACTCACACGAGACCCATCTGCACGTATGGGTGTGTGAGCCCAGCTGAATACTTCTGTCCTTCACAGGGTTCCTTCAAAATTTACCCTCTCCCAGATGACCCACGAGTCCCAGTGCCGCCTCGGCAGTTCCACCAGCTGCCGGCCAGAGGACCCCAGGAGTGTCTTGTCAGGGTCTACATCATCCGGGCCTTCGACCTCCAGCCCAAGGACACCAATGGAAAGGTATCCTGGTGGGGAAGGCTCTGATGGACCTCCACGTTGGCTCGTGGGGTGGGCTCTTTCAACAAGTCAGCCCTAATTGATCAAAATTTGCGTATATGGCTTAACATTTAGAAACAAGAGTGACAGCAAAAAGGAGAAAATCTACCCTTTCTTTCCACCTCCATTGCAACATCTGGGAATCCCAGGAGCCAACTCTTCCTCCATCCCGAGGGATTTTTCAGTAGGGTTAGTTAAAATAGCTCAATGAATTGGTTGGGGTTTTTTTGTACCTTGGTGCCAAAGGAAACAAAATTATGTCTTTCACATGACTGCTTTTTGCAAAGCTTTGCCAGTCTAGAAGAAAAATTCAGTGCAAAAAGAAAATTGTGTTGATTCAAAAAGAAAATGTTAATTTTGTTTCACTTTGAAAAAAAAACTCAGGGAAAAAAATCCTTCTTAATTCTCTTTGTTCCATAGAAAAACAGGCAAAAAGTTAGAGAAGAGTATGGGAAATATTTTGACGTGAACAAAATGAAATTGCTTTTTAATCTGTCCAGTTTTTTAAGATGGACTTGGAATAGAGGTTTTCAATTTCTTAGAAATCTCCTATAAAACACTCCTGTAGAAAAAAAAATATAGAGAAGAAAAAAAATGCTTTTTTTTTTACACTGAAAACCAAAACCAATCCAAGTTTGATCCATAGTCTTTCCCTCTATGCGGTGTGATGTCTCCTGAAGCTCGTCCGCTCGTCCCAGTCAAGGGCAGACCAAAGGAGAGCCCTGGATGCCCAGTCCAGCCTCATACTGCAGACCTTCCCCGAGCACTGCTTTTCCATCCTTCACTTCTTAAAAAAATCTGCAGGTCAAGGAAAAATGATGAGGAGCTTGGCCTGGGTGGTTTTCCCAGGGAGCGTAACTAGCCAATATTTTGGGGAGCCAATAACTAGCCAGTTTTTCTGTTTTTAATGTGAGCTGAGGTGGTGAGATCTCTGGTGATGGACTCAAGGTGGGCAAAATCTTTCAGGTGAAATTGTTTTTTTTCTTTTTTTCTTCTTCCCCTGGCAAAAATGCTGACTTAAGTTAATTGAACCACTTTTCAAATTTATGCTAATTTCCCAGAGTAGTTTTAGTTGTGAGAGAGAAGCTTAAAAACTTGCTAAAAATATAAAAATATCTGATACAATTTTTAGATGCACAATGAGGCTTTATGTTAAAGTATGCTTCCTCTCTTTTTTTTTTTTTTTTAAAGTTGTTGCAGCATCTGGGAAATAAAAGGTTTTGAGCCATATTTTTTGAAACAAAATGTTTTCCCTTTGACATTTCAGTCCCCTACATTTATACATCTATTTTTGAGTAAACTCCAAACTTAAAAAATGATGACCTTGCTGGCACCCCCCCAATAGGTGACTCAGATGAGAACGGGAACATCCTGAGGACTTCAGAGCAAGCCCAGTCCATCAGAGTAGCCATAAGTAGTTTTTTCATGCTCTTTTATTGCTTTTCCATCCCTTTGGCCTCAGAAGGGCTTGGACTCTTCTCCCACACTGCTAACTGGTCCTTCGGTCATCCTCAAAAAGGAACTGCAGTGCAGGTAGCTCTTGCCGCTGGTCACTGATTTGTAGTAAGGAGTTAATGGTCAGCCTGTCCTATCCTTGAAAATAGGCATTTGTCAAGGGTGGTGGAAGATCTGCTTAGTGGGACAAGGGGAGGCAGAGTTATTCATTTGCCATCAATATTGCTGCGCAATGACTCTTTCTTGCGTTTGTTTTCACGCCCACCTTTAGTGCGATCCCTATGTGAAGATTTCGGTGGGAAAGAAATCCATAAATGACCAAGAAAATTACCTCCCCTGTACGCTGGAGCCTGTCTTTGGGAAGTAAGTTTTGATGCAGTTTGGAGCCCGTGCGATTTTTTATGTTGTATTGAGGGAACAGGACTGGGCCAGGCAGAGCTTCTTGTTCCAACTTACATTCAAGGTCAGGCTGGATGGGGCTCTGAGCAACCTGATCTACTTGAAGATGTCTCTGCTCTTTGCAGGAGGGTTGGACTAGATGACCTTTAAAGTTCTCTTCCATCCCAAACCACTCTGTGATTCCCATGGTGTGCTCTTGCCTCATGTCCAAGCTTGTTGAAGTGAGTCTGACCTTGGCTCGACCACCGTCCTACCCACTATGACTCGTGTTCATCTTCTTCCTGGGACTTTTGAGCTGTGGAGCATGGACCAGGTCTGCTCTGTCATCAACAGAGACATCAGGAAAATTATTTAGACCTGAGATTCCCTTGTGCAGGCATCTGCCTCACCCCATCGATGGTGGAGAGGGTCTGGGGAAACTCTGCTCCTCATTTAGGCACTTTGGTTGAATGTCTGAAGAAAAGACATGATGAAGGCCTGTTTGATTAGCCTGTGGCATGGGACACCTCAAAATCAGATGCTCTGAAAAAAAATTATCTATAAACATAGTATGGGCTGGTTGAGCTGTTTGCCTTGCCGTAGGGCCACAAATTTGAAATAAAAGGAAAAAGAAAATGTTTTCAGAAAAGAGGATTCATCAGAGACAGAAAGAACCATAGGGACCAGGCAAAGCAAAGGGAGGCAGAGGAAAAGGTGCTCAGCCTCCACATGTCCATAGGACTTTGGTCTCCCAGAAGAGCTGGGATTAGACATAGGGGTTATGCTTCTGCATGAACAGAGGTCAAGCCCTGCTCCACATGATGTCTGGCTGGTTCTCTTAGGCAGCCTTCGCCAGCTCAAGATGTCAATGCCACGTCACCTTCCCAACAAAGCAGTATGGAGAAGGAGATACACCATCTGCAAGGATGGAGCAAAAGGGAGAGGGATGGCAAGGGTAATCTGGTGAGACCTCAGAGGACAGTGTGCATTAGCCGACTCATTTCCTCTTCTGCCAACTGGAGATGGCAGCTCTGCCGTTCCTATGGTGAACACGAAGTGGTTGCACCCCATCTAGCATGAGGGAGCTCTGCTCTTCTGTGGGCCGGCACCTATTGCTCTGTCGCAGAGCCCACCACCAGACGCTGGAGACTCTGCTGGGCACAGCAAGTCCTCCTTGGCTAAGCCTGGCTCCTGGCCAGAGACCATCTAGTCGGCGTGCTGCACCTCCCACCCACTCTTTAAAGCAAGACGTAAAACCGCAGTCCTGGCTGCCGGCGGCTATTAAACTTCCCATTTCACGAGCTTTTGCCTGCGCGGCTGGCTGCCGTCCAGCGCTGGCTAATTACTTTCTGCTGACCCCAGTTCCTCCTGCACTCTTAATTGGTAGCATAATCACTTACTTCCCCTCCTTAAAAGCTGCTGGGGGGTGGGTGCTGGCAGTGGGAATGGGCTTTGTGTTTCTCCCCGGTGCCACCTGCCTTTCAGCAGCAGGTGGAGGGTTCCTGGGGGGGGCGGTCCAGACCTGGGCTGTCCTGCTCACCCTGTCGGACCACCTCCCACATTGCCGGCATCCGTGAGCACTGGCTTGGTCTGGGTCAGGGTGTTGTGTTTTGGTGGGGTCTTGGTGCTGCGTCTCGTGCCATCCTTTATTTGAAGAGGGAGAGGAAGGCTTGCTCTTGCTTTGTGTTACGTTGGTTTGTGGACCGTGGTGTAATGATGGCAGAGGAGACAGCGCAGAAGAAAGGTGCTCAGGAAAGAGAGGACAAGGTGGTTTTGGGGAGGTCGGTCTTCTGTTGACCAGTTGGCCCAGCCAGGGTGGGCTCCTGGTTTGGACATTTACTCTTTGGGCTCAAAGGGCAGATAGTTTTCCAAAGCTGTCATTTCTCTCCCTTTCAAATTCCATGGCAATGATGATTCCTGGCTCTCACTTGCCCCTCTTTTCCCTGGACATTGCAGTGACCACCATCACATCCAATTAGCAGATGGAGAAAATGAGCAGGGGCAAAGTTAGAGTAATTCAACCAGGCAAAAAGAAACCCAAAGCACACTTGCTTAGAGCACATCTACAAACTAAGCCAGTACAACACAGGACCAACAGTACTGGAGCAACGCGACCAAGATGTGCAGGGCGTGTACTGTCCTTCCCGGCACTGATGGGTTGGGATGGTGTGTGGATCCATTTCCTGTGGGGCACTGGGCAGCACAAACCTCCATCTCATGGGTATTTCTCGGCTACTGTTGCACAGGATGTTCGAGTTGAGCTGCACTCTGCCCCTGGAGAAGGACTTGAAGATCACGCTCTACGACTACGACCTCCTGTCGAAGGATGAGAAGATTGGGGAGACCGTCATAGACCTGGAGAATCGGTTCTTGTCGAAATACGGGGCACACTGTGGCCTCCCCCAAACCTACTGCATGTAGGTCCCTTGGTGGGCTCAGGCAGTGGGTCTCTGGGGCTGCCGGGGCTGCCCGGTGCTGAGCTGGCTGTGGGGACCAGGGTGATATCTCAGTCCATGGGTCTGCTGTCCCAGGGGGTCCTGACCAGTGCTGTACTTCACCACAGAGATTTGTCTGGAGAGACAGATTCATACTGGAGAAGCCCCATATTTGAGGGACTTCCCTGAGCCCTGGCTCTCCTCCAGAAGCATGAAACGCTTCAAATAACGGAAATCTCCTTGGGGAGATCCTGTTACATCTTTGGTGCCTCTTGGGCACACCGTGGTGAGGACACCCTCCATGCACAGGGCCAGCTGAAGGGTGACGTGATGCGTCTGGGGGGGCTATCAGGGTACCCCGGCCCTGCCAGCTGGGCCTGAGTGGGCTGTGGGAGATGCAGCCCCGTTCACCAGACCCGCATTGGTCTCACGCTGCTGTGGCCTCCTTTTTGAGGTTGGAAGATGTTTTATCACATGTCAAGCTGCTGTTTTCCCTCGTTTGGTTTCAGCTCTGGACCCAACCAGTGGCGAGACCAGCTCCGTCCTTCCCAGCTGCTTCACCTCTTCTCCCTGCAGCACAACTACAAGGCACCCACCTACAAGTCCGACCGGATCATCTTCAGGGAGCATGAGTACATCCTCTCTGAACTGGGTAAGGTAACAGGGCTGCTTCAGGGTAGCAAATGGCTTTCCTTTATCCAGAGCAAGGGATGGAGTTTTAGGTCATGAACATGCCATGATTTGGGGGTTATCGTGGAGGCTGGGAGCAGGCGATGGGCATGTCCCCATCCTCCTCACCTTGCCGTCCAGGCTGGCTCTGCGCCTTTCCCAAGGTTGGCTCAGCCCTGAAGGCTGCAGGTTGCAGTTGGATCTGCACCAAACCCCAGGATTGAACCCAGACCTGCGATTCAGCCACGTTAACTTTGGCCTCAAGCGACTGCCCTTCGCTGCTTCCAGCAAACCAAATACCCGCAGGCTGAGAACAGCAAGTCCACGGCAGCCGGAGAGGCTCCAGCCGGCTCTTCCAGCTGCTGCTCGGGCTGGAGGAGCAGTTGTGTCTCTGCGTTTCTGAGCTGGAGTCACTAGAGGGAGACAGTATCATACGCACGGTGCCCAGTGTATCGAACCAGGGCTCGCACCTCGGGGAGCCAGGGGTTCTCCAGGTGATAGACGTGCAAAATCAGCCTCTGCCAGCAAGGAGGAAATATATCCAGGTGTCGGGGAGGTGTTTTCTTGTTTGCAGAAAGAAACCCAGCACTGACACCTGCGATATCCTGGGCATCAACTTGTGCCTGTCTTAACCAGCATCCCTGAGGGCAGAAAACTCTGCCTGAAGGCATGGAAGGGGTGTTTGGCCCAGGGAGGAGGTGAAACCCCACAGTTAACAGCCCAGGAGCTGCAATTTGACTTTATTAAGGCGCCTACAGTATTGCAGAGCCATACAGGAGGAGCTGGCCTGTGGAGCCACGGAACAAGGCATAACCCAGGGCTGATCCCTCTACTTGCTCTTGGGAATCAAGGCAGGAATTCATGGTTCTCCCCATAGGAGGAGAAGGAGGAAGAGTGGGGAAGCAACGGCTCCATTGCAGCCTCTCGTTATGCAAAAGGTTTTCAATGAGGGCTGGAAAGGTGTTAAAACTGCATGGGGTCTTCCCCCCTCCCCCAGCCTCTGCCTTTCACCTTCCTCTGCTTTAATGGCAATAGGTTCAAAAACCAGAACAAAGTCTGATGCTTGACCTCGAGGAGATCTGGAAACCAGCTGTGTTCGCAGAGCAGTGTCAGATCTGAACCTGGCAGGATAAAGTGAGGCTATTAAACACGAGAGCATGGGTTTTACAAGCACTGCACCCGGACTATTATTCCATAACCCCCACATTTGTTGTTTTCTGAGAGGGGCTTTTTCTTTTTCCCGTGCATACACACACACACGCACACCACGCACACATGCGCCAGGTTTCCACTGCTTGGGAAATAGCTCATATGTCTGAAGTTAACCACTTCAAGATATTGCCAAGAAAGAAGCTGGGATATATCACCTGAAAGTTGCAGAGCTGTAATAATATTTATGGAGCACATTTCATTTCAAAGGTCCTCAAAGGTGCATGGCCTTGAAACACTGCGGCTGGAAGGCGTCATCGTGGGGGTGATGCCCTCCACCAGCCCCAGCATGGCACGTGGGGATGGGGAGGCAGGAGCAGGCTCAGCCAAGGCCAAGCTGGCCATCCTCCATACCTGGAGGGATGGAACAGGGATCCCGAATGTTGGGGCGGAGAAGGCAGAAACGTCCATTATTGCTATGACTTGTCTGACCTATTTGTGGAGGAATTAGGGCGTGGAGTGGGTGAGGAGGTGGAGATGGTTTCAGGTCTGCTCATGGATGGCTCTGCGTTCGCTGCGATTGTTGTGCACTGGCCTGTTTTGATGAAAGACCACAAATTCCCCAGTGGGAGCAGTGAAGACCAGAGGAGGGACCAGGACCGGCCATCGAGCTGTGCTGGTGGTGCCTGTGTGGCCATCCTTTCCCTGTCATTGCCGTCTTTCACTTCGAATCCAGTAGAGAAGAAGTGAGTCCCTGCAAGGAGCTCATTGCCACTGCACTCCTCTCTGCCCACCTGAAGGTCCTGGATGGTTTTAAATGACAGGATTTAAGCAATATTCATCACATGAGTGCTTGCAAACTGCACCAGAGCCGCCCCTTTCATCTCCTCTCCCTGAAGAACTTTGACCACACATTAGGTAAACCTCTGCTGGGGTGGGAACAGCAGCCGAGCAGCAGCATGGGCTGGAGGGCTGCTGGGGACCCAACTGCTATGATTTTAGGGGGCCTGAACCCTTGAGCTGGATCGAATCATAGTATCATAGAATAGTTTAGGTTGGAAAGGACCTTCAAGATCACCGAGTTCCAACACCCCTGCCATGGGCAGGGACACCCTCCACTACACCAGGTTGCTCAAAGCCCCATCCAACCCGGCCTGGAACACTTCCAGGGATGGGGCAGCCACAACTTCTCTGGACAACCTGTTCCAGTGCCTGTAAAAAATTTCTTCTTAGATCTAATGGAAATCTCCTCTTTCAGTTTAAAGCCATTGCCTCTTGTCCTGTCACTACACGCCCTTGTCCAAAGCCCCTCTTTGGCTTTCTTGTAGCCCCTTTAGGTACTGGAAGGCTGCTGGAAGGTCTCCCCGGAGCCTTCTCTTCTCCAGGCTGAACGATCCCAACTCTCTCAGCCTGTCTCATAGGAGAGTTGCTTTAGTCCTCTCATCATCTTCATGGCCTCTTCTGGACCCACTCCAACAGCTCCATGTCCTTCTGATGTTGGGGACCCCAGAGCTGAATGAAGTACTGCAGATGGGGGAAGTACTGCGTAATATGATGGATAATGGTTTATCTATAGTCCAGACCAAAGACCGGACTCTCCTTTCCTTGTGCTTCAAGTTGGTCTGTGAAATGTTTCACTTGCTGTGGTGTGGCAGGGGGGGACTTGAACGAGACTCCCCACAGGTCCATGTCCCATTCTGTGGTGGTTGTCCACCTGTCCCACTGGGAATGGGTTGCCCTGTGCCCTGGAGGGTTTGCGATGATGGTGGATGTGCAAACGGAGGCTGTACTCCTCCTGCTCGGCCCTGGCTGCAGCGGGACTGGTGGACTCGTGCTCGCTGCCCTGCAGAGCTCCTGTGGGACCATCAGAACCCAGCCCAGCACTGCCGCAGCCATGCCGTGCTGTAACACTGCTCTTTGCTCTGTGGCAGAGGATGGCAAACCCCTCAACCCTCACCTGGGGCCGGTGGAGGAGCGTCTTGCCCTGTACGCCCTGCGGAAGCAAGGGCTGGTGCCGGAGCATGTGGAGACCAGACCTCTGTACAGCCCTCTCCAGCCTGAAATCGAACAGGTGGGTGGTGGGATGTGTCCAGGACAAGACCAACCATCCAATGCTGAGCAGCTGGCTGTTGCACCGCTGGGGAACCTGCCCCAGAAGATGGGCTGTTCCCAGGGAGGGGAGTCAGCTATGGAGCAGAGCAGAGCACTGGCTATCACACACAGCCTGGACCTCAGCTCAGGGTGCTTGAGGAGCCTGATTCCAGCCTCCTGTGTTTGTTTTCATCAGCATTTGCTCACAATTTTTTTTTTTTGTGTGGGAAAGCCCTTTCTGATGTGAGAGTCTTAATACAGAATTCTTCTGTAACTGCCGGCTCCTTTGGCAATGCAGCAGCGTGATTTCTGCAGTGTGAACCCTCCCTTGGAGGTGCAAAGTGTTGGTTAGTACTGTTGCAGACGGGGTGTTTTTAAGCTGAATGAAAACTAAATGGGCTTCCATCCAAACCCAGTCGAAATCCAGGTATCTGCACTGAGCCAACCCTTCTCTCTTCAATGAACGTGCGTGTGTAGTTTATGCGTTTAGATGGAGAAGTGCTGCTTCCCGATGATTAATTATCATCTGTCACACGCTTCAGTTGTGTTGCAAAGGTGGTTTCAAGAGAATGGCTCTGCAGCTGTTGCAAATCTGCACAGCTGCTCCTCTGCACCGCTTCAGCCCTCTCCCTTCTGCGGTTCCTTTTTAAGCAGAGCACCTAGTCAGTGGTGGGAGAGGAGGGCTGTTGGCAGGAGTAAACACACTGGCGACTGCTCTGACATCTTTTTGTGTTAATTCACCCAGTGAAAATGACGATTAGAGGCAGGAGATGGCTGCGACCAGGTGATCAGTGGGTCTGTGCTGTTCTTATGGGTATAGGTGTCATGGTCTTGTTGGACCAGACATGGAGACTGGCAAAGGTGCTTTCTTCATGTCATGGGGTTGGCTATGGGCAGAGCAACCAGGGTCTGCCTTGCACCAGTGCTTCTAACCAAGAGCATCCATAGGGATGATAGGTAGAATGATAGAATGGTTTGAGTTGGAAGGGACCTCAAAGATCATCCAGTCCCAACCCCCCTGCCTTGGGCAGGGACACCTTCCACTACACCAGGTTGCTCAAAGCCCTATTCAACTTGGCCTTGAACACTTGATGATGGTCAAGTGATGCTGGGTCCAGCTGTGTGACTCAGTACTTGTTGCATTCGGGGCAGTTCTCCGAAGGGTGGCTCTGACCTGCGGCAAAGACATGGAACAGGCTGGCTCTGTCAGGCTGTTTGTAGGGAGCCAAAAGCCAGGTTGGGCTTTTAAAGTTTTCTGCTGAAATGGAAGGTTTTATTGCCAAAAAGCAAGCAAACCACAAACCCCTCTGTGATGGGCTGATTGTCAAAGGATGGCTTTTTTTTTTTCTTTCAACCCTCAAGACTGCACAATAAAATATTTTATTGGCACCCATTGGTGTTTTACAGTAAAAGAGACCACCTAAAAAACACCCCTCCTGAGATTTCAGCTGCATTTCTGCTGCTCTCTCCCTGGAAGGATTTTGTGAAAGTGGAATTAGATTCCCTTCTCCTCATCCCATCCTCCACTCCCATGGTCAGAAATCCATAAACTGATTGTCTGGCTGGTGGCAACTGGTGGCACCATGGAAAACAAGTGAGCTGCTTGCTTCTCCAGCACCTCCCATGGACCTAGTCTTTAGCCTGTCCCGATATAGTCAGCCATGGAGGGTAAAGCCAGAGTGCACCTTCAGCTTATCCAGACCACTTAAATATCACAAACCATTAACATACACCCAGCTATCACTAAAATAATTTTAATAGAATAGTTAATGACACTTTTCCATTAAAGAAACCTTAGTTTTCAACTGAGGAACACTAGACACTTGATATTTTCTCACTCCACTACTAGGTCTTACAGAGGAGGTGAAGGTAACCCAATTAGGAGGTTCACCAGGCTTCATGTGTCTTTCTTTCCATACAGGGAAAACTACAGATGTGGGTGGACCTGTTTCCAAAATCCTTGGGTCAGCCTGGCCCCCCTTTCAACATCACGCCACGCAAAGCGAAGAGGTAAGTTGTTTATCGTTTCTTACTCAGTGCGGTGCTGGTTCCAGCACCTTCTGTTTGTGAGGGGAGAGGAGAGGGCTTGGAGATGTCAGCTGGGGAGGGATTCACTTCCCTAGCTGAAAAACGTCTATGTGGGCTCATCTTCAAAAAAAATGACTCGTGTCTTAGCTCCTTCAGCTGAATAGCTGAGCAGCACACCCAGGCTGCCTAGGTGGGCTCTGGACCAAGTTTTCCACCTTCTCATGTTGCTTTTGTTCCTGGTGCTGTCCAGGTTCTTCTTGCGCTGCATCATCTGGAACACCAAGGACGTCATCCTCGATGACCTCAGCATCACTGGGGAGAAGATGAGTGACATCTATGTCAAAGGGTAAGCCACCCCACCTTAGCGTCCTCTGGGTACCGTAGCCCGAGAGCAGCAGTGAAGGAGTTAACATGGCCCTTGCATCAACATTGCTGTGGTAGACACGAACCCCCACTGGGATGAAGGGGCAGTTCACACCTCTCCAGCCGTGGATCCGGTTTCTTGGCAGACATGTCTCTGCTGGGCTCATAACCGCCTCCTGATGTCAAGCTTTGCTTTGCCTCTCCCGTCCGCTTGCATGACAACATCTACATTTCGAGAGATGTAGATCTCGAAATGTGGGGAAAGCAGCGAGCCCTTGGAGAGAGGGGCATATAGTCTGCATTTCCACTGCTGGCTCCTTCCCAGCTCCTCTTCCGAGACAGCCGTGGGCTTGTTCCGTGTACATAGGTTGGCTTGTTTGCATAGCTGCTTTTTTTGGAATTCCCTTTTTTCCTTGAAACACACAAAAATGTGGCAACCAGCAGTAACTCCTCTGGCACATTCCCTTCTCTGCCTGACTCCATTTATGTTTTATCTTGTGTAAAATGGTGCAATCCCAGCCAAGGGACTTACTTATTTTGTGCGTTCTTTGGATTTATGGACAGGAAGAGGTAGGATTTTGAAACAGACTGTAAATCCCTTTTTTACAATCCCAATTTTCCTCCTGTAAATCCAGAATGCGCACTGCTTACCTGGTATTCACATCAAGTGCATTGTTATCAGCTCCAGCTAAGCTGCTCTGTGCACCTCAGGGCTCTGGAGTAGTTCTTGCAGGGTGTTACCGGGAAAGCGAGAGCATCCACGTCTTGCTGATGTTCCTCACCTGGCTTTCAGCATCCCTGATGACCCAGCAAATCTCACAGTGCTGTAAATGAGTTAAAAATCTTGCTCAGCTTCCTCGTCTTCCACCCCAAATAGCTGCATCACTCTTCAAGGCCAGGTTGGACGAGGCTTTGAGCAACCTGATGTAGTGGAAGGTGTCCCTGCCCATGGCAGGGGGGTTGGAACTGGATGATCTTGAAGGTCCCTTCCAACCCCAACCATTCTATGATTCTATGATCTTTGGGTAATCCTATTGGGAGGGGTGGCAATGGTCCTTATTGTGCTTAAACATTTCCCCTATGGATAGGGGATCCTGTTGGCAAAGTGACCTTCACCACCATGACGTGGCGCCCATGGTGGGCATCGTTCTTCCATCCACCGCTGCATCCTGAGCAGGGGCTGGAGCCTACTTTGAGGTGAACTCAATGGGTGAAGAGCTTTCACCTGTGGCTTTCCTTCAGAAGATCTCGCAATGCTTCTATGAGGAGCCTATTGCCAGTTGATTCTCTATTTTACCCATTAACCAAAGCCAGGGCTGGAATCTCAGTCTCTTGGACATTATCTTCTACGTAATATGTAAATGATTGTCAAGTCAGTTAGGCAGGTAAATTAAATAGGAGCTTTTCTACTATGCCTGAGGCAGTTGTAATTTATTTTATTTAATTTAAACAGTTATTTATTGATAGTCTTACAATAGCATGAAGAGGTCTCAACCAAGCTCAGGTTGTGCAAGGCTGGGTGAAGGGAGACCTTCCCTTCCTAAGGACTTGTGCTGTAGGCAGATGGAAGAGTGGCAGGGTAGGGAAATCGTGTTTATTAGGAACTAAAGGTGTTGTTTTTGAGTTAAGATCCCGCTCTGTCGCTGTTGAATATCGGAGGATATTTTTGTGTTGTTTTCATAGTGAAATTTCCAATAAAAAGTTTTACTTCACCAAGAGCATGGATCCACACTGAGCCAGGTCACAGGGGAGGTGGGCGGTTTTCACTCATCATCTTGCAAGTTTTTCAAGATATTTCAAGGTAAAACCAGTACTGCATTGAGCCAATTGGACTAGAAGTTTCCAGAGTCCCCTTCAAGCCAACCACCACTACTCAGATTTATGTGCTATTATGCCATCTTTAAAACTCATCTACATCCCCTTTTGGGCTCCTAAATAGAAGGATGGATTGAGTCCTCCAAAACCGTACACCTGTGCTGAGCAAAGAGAAGGGTGTGTGAGTTTTGAGAACAAAGACGCTGCTTAGATTTAAGAACCCAACTTTGCCTTTGGATATTGCAGACACCTTGAGTTGCATGGATTTAAAAAATACTGGATGAATTAATGGGCTAAAAGTCCACCCAGTCCTGTTAAGTACAAAAATGTTATCTATAACTTGGGAAATCTCTGACCTGCAAGTTATTAGAGTCTGGAGAGGTGTGTTGGGAAGGTACCAGGATGTGTTTGCCCCAGTGCCATTCTCTTACCTGGACATCTGCTGTTGGCCCAGGTCAGAGGTCAGGTTGGTCACCACGGCCATTCCTACATTATGTTTTTAATTCTGGGGCACTGTGACTTGAATGCTTTTGATTTCTAGCATCTCCTTCCTGCAGTGGGGAGGGTGCAGCAAATTCCACAAGTAAAAGGAAAGTACCGAAGAAGCATCCTAAACCAAACCATTAATTGGTCCTTTTGTTTGTCTGCAAGGAGAGGGCACTCCCACTGCATCCTCCGAGGGCCCCTGCCAAGCTTTGCAGATGTGGATAAACACATGGGCTCTCCATTTGCATCCAGTCAGATCAAGTCAAATAATCCAGCCACAATTTAAGTAGGAGTGTAACCTCATCACACAATTCCCGCTGCCACCAAGCCCTCACTGCCCATGTAGCACATGTGCATGAGATGTGTACTGTAGGATGAACTTGAGTAGACCTCCCCTTCCTGTCTCCCACAACACATTTGGGGCAGGTCATGTGCTCCTCTCAAGCACTGGAGAGGGGGGAATAATTTGTATAGCTGGGCAAAATACTGCTTATTTTCAATTTAAGTGGAAAACAATCAAAGGAGATAATTGTTTTCATTAGAAGTTCCCTCTGAATCTTCTGGCTTTCCTCCAGAAGGGCTCTAAATGCACAAATGGGTGTGTTTTATTGTTTTATTTAGTTTCATTGATTGCTGAAGACTGAAAAATCT